ATTTGCTTTCGGTAAGAATTTATAATTGCAGTAGTAATTACACGGTTGTTAAGTACCTTTTTTTTATATATTTTTTTAAAGTGGGACTCATTGAAGGATTATTGGATGGAACGCCGAAAGACACAGAAAACTCTCACAAACAAGTAGGGGTGTAAACGAGCCGAGCACGAGCAAGCTAGGCTCAGCTCGTGTTCAGTTCGTTAAAAAATATAATTGTTCGTGTTCCGTTGGTTTATAACTCGAACAAAAAAAAATGTGTTCATGTTCGGCTCGTTTGCTTAGTGGGCCTCTTTTGTTTGGGGAGCCGAACACGAGCTGTTCATGAACAAAGAGTCATTTTGACTACTCTATTCACCTAATCATAAGATGTTAAATATTGAAACAAGATTTAAATCTTATTTTTTATATTAAAACATCAGTTAAATATAATTTAATATATTTTTGCTCTATTATTTTAATTATAACTCTTTGTAGACTCGTAGTAAATTGAATATATATAACTCATATACTAGATAAAAGACGGATGTTGGAGCGGAACAGAGCGAACCAGTGGTTGCCCTCGCGGTACATTAAAGGGGTAATTTTTTAATTACATATTGTACGTCGCTCTACTCGAGGACGTAGACAAATTGTCGAAACTTGTTAAATCTCTGTGTTTCTACTTGATTTGTGTTTATATATATATATATATATATAGATGCATAAAAGGCAAACAATAAATCTATTTTATCATTGACCAAATGTTTGCATTTTTTAGTCATAGGAAAGGGAAGTTGTGTATAGATGTGCAGACAATGCATTTAATTGAAGGGTAACCACTGGACATGAATTTCATGATATATTTACTTCTAATAATTAGTAATGGCATTTTTTATAAAAGAATGTTTCTTAAACTTAAGTAAATTAATATATTTTCATTATCTTGTCCAAATTATTTATCATAAAACATATAACATTGCTCCACCACCTCCTCACTCATCTTATAATAAAATGCCACATAAACAATTCATGAGCAATAAAGTCTTTTCATATTATTACTCGTAAACGACACATAAACATATCTACTAAATATGTAGAACTACCTAAATTAAGGGCCCGTTTGGGGCAGCTTATTTGGTGCGGTGGCGTTTTGAAAACGCACCTGGTCAGTTTGGGTAGACTGTGTTTTGACAACTTATATGTTTTGAAAACGCTTAAAACAACATTTTCACACCGCACCTATCTAGTGCGGTGACAGCTTTCTGGCAGCGGTTCGACTTTTCCAAAAAAATTAAAATTTTTAATAGCCACTGCACCTAGCTTAGCAACATATTATTTTTAATCAGTTTATCAGCAAATTATTCAATAAGCTACAGTTGCCCAAACAGACCCTAAAATGAGCTGCCTCGAGAATCATGTAAATAAAAAAAAGAAAGAAGATTTGCATGTATATCACACAAATTTTATGTTTTTACATGTAAATATTACATCTTGATTATGTATGAAAGTTATATGAGTTTCATTTTAAGAAGATGGTGCTAATGTTATTTTTTATGAGATGTAAAATATTTGAGTGATTTGTACGTAAATAAAAATGTTTAGGTGTTAGATGTTTAAATACATAAGAATTCATGTGTGGTATGTATGTAAAACTCTCATGCAAAAAGGTAAGTTTATGTGTTAGATATGTAAATACGTAAGAATTAGGTGTATGTATGTAAGTACTTCTCAATTGAATAATTTAAAGCTCAGAAACCTTATGATTTTAGAAAATTATAATGGATGTCATCATGAAAATTGTATGAACATATGTGAAACCTAAAGCATTTAGATAAGAAAATCTTCCACATTCAAATTCAAGGCCATCCAAACTCTCATTTTAATAAAATTGTAGTTGAACCAAGCAGCTCGACTATACAAGTCCAACGAAACTTGATTCATGCCGAAAGATCGCGGTGATTGAGTGTTTATTTATCATCCCAACGTTCCACAAAAGTTTAACACACACTCAGATAATAGAAGAGTAGTGGGATGGAAAGGGGAAAAAACATGGCATCTAGCATAGTTGAAATGATCCACTATATAATGGAGACTACATAGACCCCCTCTTCTCCCTAATTTAGGGCAGGAGGTATAAAAAGTTGACGTGCAATGGTGATTCAGCAATAATAGATGTAATATGTCTCGAATGTCGTTATCGATTGTTATGAAGACAATAGTCATCATTGAATGTTGTAGAAGATAATTGTAGTTTCAGCTTGTCGTAAAGGTCGTAGTTAAAAGCATTACAGTAGATAGGTCTAGCGGTGGCTTCGGAAGCGTCAGTTGGCCTCAACTGCCAAAGGAGGGAGTTGTGATAATGTTTGTAAGCCGCACAAATCGGAGTTGAAAGCTGCATGAGTTGTGATAATGCATGAGTTGTGATATTGTTCATACCCATCAAACACTGTGTTGCAGGGCCAGTATGACTGTTCTTCTCAAATTACTATTATATAGTTGTAATTGTCAATTCTTGTAATCACATATTACCTAATTCAAGAGAAGGGTTGACATTTTTATTTTCACATTTCTAATAAATTACTTTAATTAGACTGGACTTATAATTTTTTCTCTTTCTAAATTTTTTTCATATAAATATTTTAAAAGTTTTTTTTATATTTTTATCCATGTGGTGAAAAATTATACTCACCTAAGACTAAAAATTTTTATATCATTAAAAATTCTCTATCCCTCAAAAAATAATAATATTTTTTTAATGAAATGCGTGCGCGTGTTAATAAACAACACATATTCCTCTATGCTTAAAAGAAGAAAAAAAACATACCTAAATTCTGCCGTATTTTGAATGATGGCCATAATCCCCATTAATCCATTAAAATTTGACCATCAAATTAAATTTGATTGTAATTTAAAAATAGCATGCGTCTCTAATCACATGTAACAACCCAACTCTTACTATAACCCGCGAAGATAGTCGTGCCTGCATGCTACGAACCTCATACAATACGTGCACCATTTTTTTTATTTCGCCCCGCACAACCTAATTCTCTTATAATTCAGTAGATAAAAAATTGGCCTTTTTTGTTAATACAAAAATAAAAAAAATCAACTCAGTAATGCATCAGTCACGTGGCCTTTTTATCGTCAATCTCATTAAACAAATACCCTTAATAACATGCATAAATGTTGAATCATTCACACGCATGGTTGACAACTACTCTGATTCGAAACTGATTTCAACCCGCTGGCCGCATGCTGCTCCAACAAATAAACAAATAGCATAGCAAAGCAGAGTCCAGCTAATCCCCGCTATCTGTCCCGCCCCGCGGCCGCGCCCTCGCCGCGCACTCTCCACGCACACGCCTCCCCAGCCGCCTATATTCCCCTCTTCCCCCCCTCCCCACCTTCCTTCCATCACAACACCAATCCTTCCTTCCATGGCCGACCCCTCCTGTCCCCCTCAAAAACCCGAAGACAATGACCCCCCCGCTCCGTCCCCGGGCTACCGCGGCATCCGCCCTCGCAGCGGCAAGTGGGTGTCTGAAATTCGAGAGCCGCGCAAAGCCAACCGCATATGGCTCGGAACGTACCCAACGCCTGAGATGGCGGCGGTGGCTTACGATGTGGCCGCGCTCGCGCTCCGCGGGGCCGACGCCGTGCTTAATTTCCCCGAAGCGGCAAAGTCACGGCAACCTCCCGCGTCGAGTTCGGCCGGGGATTAAAGGGTTCGCCCGCGGATATAAGGATTGCGGCGGCCGCTGCGGCGGCGGAGTTGAAGTTGAGGCTTGAGGGTGGAGGGGATGGGGGGAGTAGTAGTGCTGCATCTGAGGCGCAGCCGGTGGTTAAGATGGAGGGGGAAGGAGGCGAGTTTGTGGATGAGGAGGAGCTGTTTGAGATGCCATCGTTGTTGATGAGTATGGCGGAAGGGATGCTGGTGAGTCCGCCGAGGATGAGTGCGGGGGAGGCGGAGGAGGAGGAGCTGGAGGGTGAGGAGGAGGAGAAGCTGTGGAAGTTTGATGATGAGTAGGGGGGTAGTGGTACACACTGTTGGGGGCAGGGGGAAATGTATTTTGAGAGTAAAAACCTGTTTTTTATTTTTATTTTGAGACAGAATGTGTGTACGAGGGTATTAGTGGGAATGAATTTAAAATTTATTAAATTGTTTTTTTTTATAAACATAATTTTATGATATTTAATTTGAATTTATGTTATAATCTTTACCTCAAATAAATCTAATAAATTTAAAATCCATGCTTATTAATTATGATTTTATTTTCTATAAAATTATGGTTAATTAGAAGCAAAGGGGTTCTCTATTTTAAATAGACATTTTCAAAGCAAAGTCACTATCATATTATAATCAAATTAGACATCTTTTGGGATGTTTAATAGCATAATTGAGTATGATTTATCGTTATATTTATAAAATTTAGTCAAACATAAAAATGCAAGAGTTTTTTTTGCCTTCGATTTAGCTTAAATTTGAATTTATTAAATTCACGGGGATGATAAATTTAACGAATTTACGATTTTTGGAGTACTAAATTTTAAATCCTACTTGTAGCCATTAAATATTTTTAAAACAATTATAATAGTAAAAAAAAAAAATTATTACCATATTTAAGTCAGATTATTTAATTAAAATACTCTTCTTAAGTATTATGAGTGCTATAAATATAACTACTTAATTTAACTTAATCTGACAATTTCTATAACTTAATTAAAGTGAATTATATCTCCTTTTAATTGGCGACTTATATTGTCCATAGAAATAATATTAATTATCATATGATTTTTTCGGCTCATAAAGATCTAGAAATTTTGGGAAATCTCTAAACAATCGGTTCTATATGGTTTTATTTCCCATCATCGGTTCCTGATCTGAAATTCTACCTAACACGGGAGCCCCAGTCCACCTTATTCTTTTCTATGGCTACTCCAATAATAATAAAAAAAAAGGCCTGTTTTTAATAGTCACCGTTTTTGCTGTCATCCCTCCTCTTTTGCTCCATTCGATCGTTCTGATACGTGGCTTCCTCTTCATCGCCGAAACTGCTCGCCGGCGAAGGTTGGTTTCTCTTCCTCTTCTTCCTCCTTCAGCTCGCTGGAATTGTTCGGATGAGGCTAAAGCTTGGATTTTGCCAAAGCTATATTGATGTTTATGCTGATTGGACTATAATATATAAGGATTTGCGAGCTTCTAATAATGATTTGAAAGATGGAGTAACTCATGCTGGCTGCAGTTTCCAGGAACTGTCGGAAAGGTGTGCAGTATACAGCAGAATTTGTTTGAACAGTAGAAGCAGGTATAAATGAATTCAAGTTCATATTGAATCGACCTGAGTTGAATTTTAATTTAGAATAGTAGTATTGATATTTGTTAATACTGCAGTATTACATGCACGTCGTACGGTGGAAAGATATGAACTAAACGATTGCGCAAAAATGAAATAAAATAAAATAAATTAAGAGTTTAAAGTAAATCAAATCGAGCTGATCTGGTTTGGTTTTGCAGCTGATTTTACTTTTTGTTTGGAATATTATTAATTGCATAAATCGATTGATTCGGATTAAGTAGTATAAACTTTGAACCTTTCTATAATTTATATATGGCAATTAAATGAGATTAAAATGTTGATTAAAATTTATTATTATAAAAATTTAAGTTTGCCCCAAATGATGAAAAGGATTAAAGGATTTTGTAAACATGAAGATGTTATGCTTCTATATTTTCCTGCTCTTAATTGATTTCGTACTTGAATAAAATACCTGAGCATATAGATCTTAGAGTAGACAATTGGAAATTTCTTGCAACAACGTTAATTCTTACCTTACAGCAGTAAATTACTTAGCCATAAAGTCGATAGGATAAAAGGTGAAGGTTCCAGAAAAGCTAAAGTTAGTTACATAGTTTGGTGACCCTAGGTGAACTTAAGTAATGTTATTGCTTATACCGTCCGACAAGCTAATGGTTCCTAGTAGAACCATGAGCTTGGTGTGAAGTTCTTGAAAATGTCGTTGGATAGAATTTTATTCAGAATATCAGCCATCTGATCTTGAGATTTAAGGTACTCAAGTTGAATGTGATTCGAATTGATATGATTTCTTATGAAATGATAATCAATCTCGATAAGCTTGGTGAATGCATGGAAAACATGATTGTTCGCTAGAGACATAGCCCAAATGTTGTCATAATATATTGATGTAAGATAAAGAGTGGCAACACAAAGTTATTCTAGTAATCGTTATAGCCATAAGACATATGTCGTGGTAGTTGCTAGCACACGATACTCAACCTCCATAGAGGAGCGAGCAACTATTGACTTCTTCTTTACTGTTTAGGATATGAGGGAATCAACTAGGAAAAGCACTCTGCCATTGTAGATTTGTTATCTAATTGGTCTCCATCCCAATTAGCATCAGTATAAGATTGAAGTCTCGAAGGTCACATGGTTTAATCACAAGTTCAAAGTGAGAGGTACCTTTTAGATATCGTAAAAGATGAATTAGTTGTTGATAACTTGTTATGGTAGGAAACTGCATATATTGACATAGCTGATTCATCACATAAGAGATATCCAACCTTATAACCGTAAGATATCCTTGAGCTACAAGTCTGGCCTTGTGTCAGGTGATTCTTCCAGTTGAATCATACTATTTGGCATATGTCTATAGGCAGCCTAAAACTGGTTTGTTTTCAGGTTGGGGAACCAGAATCCATGTTTGCTTTTTCTGGAGGGAATTAAATTCTTCAATCATAGCCTTGCGCCACTATGGATATTTAATTTCTTGAATATAGTAGCTAGGTACCAATTGTGATTCAAGATGATGCGAGAGATTCAATTTGCAGATTGTTTTAAGGTGGCCCATGCAAGATCTTGTTGTCATATGATGGACAGATGTAACATGAGTCCCTTGAGTCACACGTAAGGAAGAGGCTGCTGGAGGTAACGGTGGAGTATGTGCAACATTAGAGGAGACAATTAGTGGTGGGCTAGGAGGTGGATGGATACATGTGGACGTGGAGGATTAGGGCCTCGAAATTGAGGAGAGTGCGGCAGGTGTGAACAACAAGGAGGAGTGTAGGGGGTTGCAGATTGTTGTGTGAGCACTAGAGGTAATGATTTGTGTAGGAATGGAAAAGTGTATTCATCAAGCACCCCATGGCAAAAGATTATACTTTTTTAGCCCCTATGTTAAAAAGAATAGTCAGGAAAAATAAATTTAACTTATCGTGATTCGAACTTATGGGATATTTGATGTTTTCTCCATGGATAGCGAGCACATCCAGATACTTGAATGTGACTGTAGTTTGGTGGTGATTTGTGAAGGTGTTCATAAGGGGAGATATAGTGAGTGGTTTGAATAGGTTTATGATTGATGAGATGCATGGTTGTTAAAAGACTATCAAACCATAGATTGTATGGAACTTGTGCTTGGTGTGGGAGAGCACGGGTTGTTTCAAGTATGTGTCTATTCTTACATTCCACAACCCCACTTTGTTCGGGTGTGTATGGACACAAGTATTGATGAAGTATACCATTTTGAATAAAGAACCGACTTAGGGAGTGATTATAGTATTGCCCTCCACCATCAAAGCGAAGATTTTTTTTTTTGGTTAAATTGGTGTTAAAGAAGATGAATAAATGTCTTAGAAAATTGAGTTGTTTCAGCTTTATTTTGCATAAAGAAACCCCAACAAAATTTAGAATAGTCATCAACAAAGGTAATACAATATCTATTACCTTAAAAAGAGGGAATTGGGTATGTCACTATGGATTAATTCTAATAGTTTGTATTTTAGTCATACATGGGATAGAAATGTTGTTTATGACTCTTAGTAAGATTACAAATAGTGCAAAAAGTTGGAGTAGTTGATGTGTATCTTTTGACTTTTGGAAATGACAAATATATTATTATAATGTGGATGTCCTAATCTTCTGTGTCATAGCTCAACATTTTGTACTTTAGAGAGGGATGTAGTAAGAGTTGTTGGAAAATGCATAAACGAGTGGATGGAGTAGAGGCCGTTAGAACTGGGACCCTGGAGGAAAACCTGTTGAGTTTGTGGATCATAAATTGAAAAGCCAGAAGAGTCAAAGGAAACAATAATGTTGTTATCCTTGGTAGTTTGCGAATAGAAAGTAGATTGTGAGATAACAAAGGAACACGATGTACTTGTGATAGTCTTAGTTTACAATTTGGGGTTGGAAGTATGTTATCTCCCTTATACTCAATTGGGAATAAATGTTCAATGCCCACTTGTACTTATTTTGCTCCTTGATAGACATGAGGTTGCTTTAACTCACCCTCACTTCCTCTATTAGATATGGTGGAGAGAATGGGAGGTTTGATGGAGGAAATGAAGTAGTAGAAGAAGAAGAAATAGAAGGCTCTCCCTTGTTCTTTCCAAGCCCTATTTGTTTTCCTAGCTCTCTCCTACCTCCAAGCTCTCTCACCAGCTGAATGGTGCCTCTTTTTTTATGTTAGGCATGTAAAAAACATTTAAGTGACTCTCCTTCCTTCTGCCATCTCATTTCTTTGTGTAATGAGGGTGTGTCACCTCATTTTGTTTTGATAATTTTTTTTGATAAAGTAATTAATATAAATTATTGAGTTAGTTTAAATAATATAAGAGTAATTTATCATCAAAAGCACCCATTTGATTATAAATAATAAAGTCTTTGTTAATATCACATGTGGGGTGCAAGTAGAGGGGGTAAAAAGTCAAAAATTCAACCTACAGTTGGATTTAGTGGTTGAGGGCATGCATTTGCATTGGTGTGCAAGCACACACCTCCTCGTGGGCAACCGCACAGGCACAAGCGCATGTGGGTGTGGCTGCCTGCGGTGATTGAACGCAGGTCTGCCCACGTGCAGTTCATAGACATAGAGGCGCGGCTGCACACATGGACTTGTGGAGGCTAGATTTGGCTAACGCTGGCAAGCCATGTCAAGCGAGAGCCTAGATTTAAGTTGGATTTGTCTTGATTTGCCAAGCACGCTATCAAGTGCTGACAAGCAAAGGGTTTGGTCAGGAGGCTGGATTTGACTAGCTCTAAAAAGCGGGAGCTTGGATTTAGGTTGGATTTGGCAAGGGCGCTAGCAAGCACTGGTAAGCAGAAGGCTTGGTCAGGAGCTTGGGTAAGAAAGTCATCCGACTTACATAATAAAGTCTAATTTTAGAGCAACGTTATTTAATGATTGCATTCCTACACGAGAAATTACATGAGGAGATCTATATGTTGCAGCAACTTAGTTTGCAGACTAGTCAAATCATTATATAGTTTGAAGCAGTCACCACAGCAATAGTATAAGAAGTCTGACTAGTTCATGATGTGATAGGAGCACACGAGGAGCCAATATGATGAATTTTGCATATTTTAAGATATTAGTCAATTGTGAGTTCATCTACTTTTCTCTATATATTGACTACATGTTAATTGTATATGCAAGTCAGATTGAGATTGATAAGATGAAGAAGCAGCTGTCCAAAAATTTTGAGATGAAGAAGTTGAGTGATGCTCACATAATTCATGCACAGAGATGCTCACAGACATGACAACTTGAAATGTTTGGCTCTCACAAGAAGCATAAGTTTGAAAGGTTTTAAGAAAATTAAGGCTAATGACTCGAGCAAAACGACAAGTCTACCCATTAAATGTCACTTTTAGTTGATTTCAGATCAATTTCCTAAATATGATCATGAGTGGAAAATTTGAGGTTGATTTCTTATGCTAGCCTAATGAGCAATTTGAAGTATGTCATTGTTTGTGTTAGTCTAGACATTACACAAGTTTTAGGTATTATGAACAAGTTCATGCATGATTCAAGAAGGATGCATTGGTAGGCTATGAAGAGTATTTTGAGATATTTGAAGGATATAGTTGATTTGAGCTTGGTGTTCGAAAAACATTTATTTATTGTTGATTTGTGTGTATGCTATACTAATTAGACTATGAAAGTGATATAAAAAGGCATATGCCTACGATTGGTTATTTATTCACATTGACATGAGGTACAACAAGTTGGAGATCATTTCCTTAGTCTACTGTTGTTTTGTCAACTACGAAGGCTGAGTACATATCTGTCATGGAGTTGATGAAGGAAGCGATATCGATGCAGGCCCTACTGGATGACTTCGGGGTTGATCAAGAGCCTCTAATGGTGTTCTGTGTTAATCAAAGTTTTAAATTCTTAACTATAAATCCAGTTCATCGAGCACGCACCAAACACATTTATGTGATGTACCACCTTATTCGGGATTTGATTTGTGACAACAATGTTTTGTTGATGAAGATAAATGCAGAAGAGATTTTAATAGACACTCTTACAAAAATTCATCTAGTCCATAAGTTCATATACTAAAGAATTTGATGAACATCTACGTTTATGATTGATTGTCCATTCATGTATTCTGAAGAACTACACAGGCTTGATCCCTTCAGGATGGGGGTACGTATGCAACCAAGTTGGTGCATTCATTTTGGTATTTGTGCTCATTTTGGTCATCTCTCACTTATCTAAAAATGACGGATGAGGTGAACACTGTTTTGAACATTATTGTATATTAGAAAGCGTGTTTATTAAAAAATTCATATTATGTAACTTAATTAGATAATATATAATTACATAATCTTTTATATATTATAAAGAGTGATATTAGATAACGTAATTAGAGAAGATTAAGTACATGATATTTTCTACATGTATTCATAATATTTATGTTATAATTCTCGCTTATTTATAAAAAAAGATTATATCTAGTTTTTTTTATGTAGACTTGTAGTCCTATTTAGAATGTTTTTTTTTCTTTCCCTCCACGGGATAATCTCTTCTCATGGACATGTGTGTGTGTGGATTTACACCGACCCATGTAAATCACACTGTGTTTGATTGTTTTCTTATTACGTCCTTTTGTTTTCCGTATTGTTTTGCACAACGCACAAAATTTTGACATTTACAAATGCTTTAATCATATTAGAAATTGATTAAACTCGATACTTTTAATTTTATCGTATTAAAAAAAGATCACTCGAGGACTGTGGAGGAGATGGGTATTCAAAAGTTTACTATGACATTATTTGATCCAGGAGATGATAGAGAATATGATGTTCGAATTTAAGATATTAAAATAATTTACGTGCTATATTAGTAAATATTAAATTTAGATGGGAGATACATAAATACTAATCTTCAACTACTAAATAACCTCATTGAATCAAAAGAAAAAGAAAATGTTTGCACAAAATCGTATAAACCCCGTTTTTCCTGATAAACTAGGAGAGAACTGGAAGCAAGTTGTCCTGCATAAACTGAAAACGCCTCTTTCATTTCACCAAACCTCCAACCAATGGCCGCCGTTCCTCATCTAAGCCCAGCAAGTTCTCCAACACTGTCCAAACGCCGTCGAAATCACAGCTCCCGGCGTCTCTCCATCCTGTCCGCATCCCCAAACAACGATCTTCGCGTGAACGCCATCAATGGTTTTCCCTCCGATCACCATTCCCTCTCCCTCCGCGTCGCTTTCCAGGGTTCCCATGGCGCCTACAGCGAGTTCGCCGCCAAGACAGCGATCCCTAATTGCACCACCCTCCCCTGCCCCACTTTCTCCGACGCAATCTCCGCCGTCGAAAACGGCGCCGCCGATCGTGCCGTCCTCCCCGTCGAGAGCACCATGGAAGGCACAGCCCTCCGTAACTACGACCATCTCCTCCGTCGCGACCTTCGGATAGCACAGGAGATCAGCCTCTTCGTTCACTACTGCCTCCTCGCGATGCCCGGCGTCCGTACCACCGAGCTCCGCCGCGTGATCAGCCATCCGATGGCTCTCGCACACTGCGGCCGCGCTCTTTCTCAACTCGGTCTCCTTCGCGAGCCCGTCGAAGACACCGCCGGCGCGGTCCAGATGCTCAGATCTCGTCGTCTCTTAGACACCGCCGCCATCGCTAGCCCTCGCGCCGCCGTCCTCTACGGCCTTGATGTTCTCGCCGACGGTCTCCAGGATGCTTCATGGAACGTCACCCGCTTCCTTCTGCTGTCGAAGCCTCTGGCTGCTGCTGCGCCGGTCGCAGGGAAGGCGAAGACCAGCATGGTGATCGCGCATCGCGGGGGGTCGATGATGGTGCTACTAAAGGTACTTTCTGCATTTTCTTCTCGGAACATAAACCTGGCGAAGCTGGAGGTGAATAACCCTTCGATTGAGGGGCAGGGGCCTGTGATGGTGATGGATGTGAGAGGCATGGGTACTCTGCGTGCTTTTCCTCATGTTATCTATGTGGATTTTGAGGGTTCGACGGAGGATTCAAGGGTTCGGGAAGCGATTGAGGAGATAGAAGGTTTCTCTGTTTTCGTTCGAATTCTTGGTTGCTATGCAGCTGATTCTAATGTATACGATCTCCATTAGTAGCTCTAAAATGCTTGTTATTTATCTTAATTATCATTAGCTCTGCGCGAGCTCCATTTACTGCGATGTTCATGGCTACATCCTGTTTATGAATTATGAAGTTAAGTTACTGGAAGGGGAAGAAAGATGTTAGTTGGAAGGTCTTATACGCCATGATCCGGTCTTGTATGTTGTAATGCTGTATTTACTATCGTCAGCTGTTCGGGTGGGAGTGGGGGCGGAAGGAGGAGAAAGATGGGAGTTTGGAGGTATTTGTACGCCACGATCTCGTGGCTTGATTCGTGAACTGTTTTGGGTACGAGGAGGAGAAAGATGGGAGTTTTGACGTCTTTCTACGCCTCGAGTCCATGCTGTCTTCGTCAATTGTTTCTGGGAGGAGCCGGGCGTAAGGAGGAGAAAGGTGGGAGTTTGGAGAGCTTTGTGAAGCTCTGTGGTTGATTTCATAAATTGTTTCGGGTAAGAGCGGGGCAGGAGGAGGAGAGTGATGGGAGTTCGAAGGTCTTTGTAAGCTGCGATCTCGTTGTGGCCTTTGCCAATGGTTGTCGTCGAAGCGATGAGATACGGCTGTTGCCTGTGAGTTCGATAACTAAATATAAATTAGATAGTATGTGTGGGATGTGTAATATTAAACATTTTGGGTGTTATGTATGTAAATACCTCTTTTTTTTTAACCCAATTTATTTTAATCTAAATATTTTAAAAAATTAATAGTTTAGGGCAGAATAATAATATATCTGGAGAATCAAAAAATTTTTTTTAAAAAATAAAAATAGTTGATGATGGAATAAAAATGTGAAGAAAAGATAAAATATAAGAAGTTGTGTTATAAAAATTAGTTTAAATGTAAAAAACTCAGAGAATTTAGAAAAATATAAGGTGGCTCGTAGAGAATCTAAGAGAACAATTTGTTAGGCTAAAAGTTCTGTTTTTAGTGATTTTTATAATATATTAAATACTAAGAGTGAAAAATAAATATATATATATATATAAATTATCCAAATAAAGTAAAAAAGAAAAGTAAAGATTTAACAAGTGTATTTAAGAAGAAAATCAAAAAGTGTTTTTCTTAGAGGAAGACGTACAACATATGTGGGTAAGCTATTTTTATAAATTTTTCAATGAAGCTTTTGAAAATACGATCGACCTTATTGATCTTAATAATGTTAGTGATAATAAAACATTTTATCTTTATAATTGCATTAGTTAAAAAGAAGTTCATGAAGCTTTAAAGAAAATTAAAGGTAGAAAATTAGTATGACCTAATGATATCCCAATTGAAGTGTGAAAATATTTAGAAGATTTGAGAGTTTCTCTTCTCGGCTTACTAAACTCGTTAATATTATTTTAAAAACTAAAAAGATGTGTGGGGAGTGAATGAAGAGTATCTTGTTTTTATTAAGTAAATTAGCATAAATGAGCCATAACTTTTTTATTAATTAAATTAGCATAAATGAGTCAATAATTTAAAGGCTAAATTTTATAACATTAGTAAATTAGTTCCATAAATCCTCCATTAAGCCTTGTCATTCACTATGCCTCTAAAAGCTACTCAATTTAAAAAAGTTGACAAATTCCAAATTAATCATCAATCTATTTTCAATATTTAAAAAAAAACAAACATTTATTCCTCTCATTTGATATCTCTATATCTTCATGTGAAGCAAAACAATTGGAGTTTCACTTAATCAAAAGGTGGCTATAATATTTAATACAAATTTGCATCTAATAAGTGATATAATTTATTTGAAAAATAATAAAAAATTATGTCCAATGATAAAATTAAATATTATCCAAGATTTAGAGGGCAAGTTAAGCTATCAAAAAGAGTATTTATTTTATTCATTTTTTGCACAAAAAATGTCATAATGTAAGTATTTATAAAAAATAGTCTTCTCATTGTAAATTTTTCTTCAAATTTGATGTATAACCCCTTTCATATATCTCATCATAGAGTACAATATCTCATACAAATTATAAAATAAGGCTTACTATGTTAACCACTCTTTATATTATAAAAATGTTATTTTTACTATTAAAGGAAAAATTTACAATCACATAATTTAAAATCTTGTGCTCTTTAAAAAAAGCTAAATTCTTAATAATAATAATAATAATATTAATATTACATTTGAGAATTTATGCGAACTTGAAAATGAAATGATTTTCATAAATATTATCATGCCAAATTTTTCATATAAAAAAAAAATAAAAATAAAAACTATTTTAATTTTTAAAAAATGAAGTACATTGTTCATGCATTAATGATATAAGAAAATAAATTTAAGTTTATGCGGTAGATGTGTGAGTGCATGGGAATTAACTGGTATGCATGTAAATCATCTAAAAAAATTAGTGTGTGAGCTGCAGCTTAATATTTTAATTAGTTTTCTAAGCATATTATTGTTTAAGTATATTATCTTAAGAGAGGGCCGTGACGCTTAGGGTATCTTTGACAACCAGAGCACAACTGCTGCGTGAAGACTAAGTTTAGCAGTTGACCTAATCAAACGTACGACTTAACCACCTCCATTTTTTGGCAGGTGGGCCACATGCCTCTATATCTATATCATATATTTATTTATTTATTTATTTATTTATATATTATAAATTTTGGAGAAAGAGAACTTGTTATTTCTCATTCTCATTAATTTTATGGAAAATAAATACAAGTTAAATAGAGGAGCATAACTCCAATATTAGAAAAATAATAATATCAGCCATAACTCCGCATGATAAAAGAAAGAAACAAGAACTATCACATACCAACAAAATTAGAAAATACTAATCACATAAGCTACTAAAAATAGAATCTAAAAATCTAACACCCACCTCAAGTTGGAGCATAGATATCTATTACGCCTAAATTGCTTACAAGAAGCTCAAAATTTGGTTTGAAGAGTCCTTTGGTGATGATATCCGCTATTTATTGAGCAGTATGGATAAATGACATTCCAATCAATTTTCTTTATGATGTGTCAGTCAATCTCCACATGTTTTGTGCGATCATTCTATACAAAATTTTCTGCAATGCATTTGGCTGCTTTATTATCATAATATAACTTCATCGACCTTTTTATTGGGATCTGCAGTTCTTCAAGAATTATTTTCAACCATAATCATAAGATAAGGTGCTAGATTATGTGAGTAGTAATCAACAGATGCGGGCATGCGAGGGGCTAAAGTGTGAGGCAAAGTGGTTTCAAAATTACTAAACCTAATAGATCTGGCCAAATTTCTTTGGACTTCAGTCATCACCACTGGCTCATACAATGTCATGAAAAAGAAACATCAGCTGCGAAGAAGAAACAACCATAAGGGGCTTCAACTACTGAGTTCCGTCAGGGGAAAAGACTGTCACTTATACTATGAAGTATGAACCAATGACTTCAAAGGAAAAAAATAGTGGCTTCAAAGGAGTCGCACGACCAACTTCTTCAATCATGAGTTTCATCGCGATGGAAAAATCGAAACATGCTTCATACGATACTTCAAAGGAAGGCCAAGGCACAAGCAACTTCAAAGTAAAAGACAACATCTTGGAAGGAGACACAAGAACAACCGATTCACACTCGATAAATTGGCACGGGTTTGGTCTTTGCCCAAGACACTTCTAGTCGTCGTTTACAAGCTCTAATATCATGTAAGATTTGGGGAAGAAAAAATTAGTATTCATCTTCAATTTCTTTGAAAACAATTATAAGTCAAATAGAAATGGATGACTCATATATTAGGAAAACAATAATATTAGAAAAAGATGACTCAACTATATCTATATATATATATATATATATATATATATAGACGAACCAACCAGCTTGAGGGCTCATCATTTTATTGTTGGGGCATTTACGTACATTTCATCCAATTCTTATGTATTAACATATCTACCTAAACTACTCTTTTTCCCATTTAACCACCCAAATCTATAACATCTCATCAAAATTTCTAAAATTTTAACCTATAAACAGTAAAATGCACGTTTTCATGCATAGATGTGGTGGTGTGCATGTAAATATTGAAATTTGGGTGTCAGATATGTAAATACTTTGGAACTGAGTGGTATGTATGTAAATCTTCCTTTATTTTTTAGCTTTTTTGAAATTTTATTTATTTAAAATTTTCTAATACTCGAAATTATTCGCTGACATGATGTTCAAATTTGATTTGTACTAATTGAGACGAGCATATTCGACCTGCATAAGCTTGGATTTATTTAGGAAAAGTCACCAAATACACACAAAATTGAATATTAAACTATTATTTTAAATATTTACAACTCCAATTAAAATCTCTAGCTCAAATTGTAAAATAAAATATAAATATATTATAAAATTATAATGAAAATACTGATTCATCCTAACTTGGGAATCCTCTCTACTCCCTAACTTTAGTCTCATACAACATTGAAGAAGAGCCTCACTGACAGAGAATAAGGAATGCATGTTCATTAGGGGGTGTAAACGAGCCGAACAGGAGCTGAGTTGAGTCCAGTTCGTGTTCGGCTCGTTTCTATTTCGAGCTTAAAAAGTGTGTTCGTATTCGACTCGTTCGCATAGCGAGCCGAACATGACCGAACAGTAGTTGTTCACAAACAAAGTGTCATTTTAACAACCATAATCATGTAGTCATAAGATTTTAAGGATTGAGACAAGATTTAAAAATTATTGTTTATATTAAAACATGATTTGAATCTAATTTAATAATTTTAATTCTATTTTCTTAATTAATACTTTTAATTGTTTATAAATCTTTGTAACATTCTAGTTAATTAAACGTCCGCGCGTGCAGCGCGCGCGTGTGCGCGCGTGTCCCTTTTGTGTTTTTTTATATATATATATATATATATATATATATATATATATATAATGACGTATTTCGAGCCAAAATAAGCTAAACATGAACGAACAAATCTTTGTTCATGTTTGGCAAGTTAGCTTAGCGAACGAGCAGAGCACGAACTTCTTAACATGTCGAACACGAGTTGGTTGCAAACAGCGAGCCGTTTTGACAACCCTAATGATCATATTAAGGAAAAAAAGAAATTAATAAAAAATAATTTAAATTTGAGAAGTTATTAAAA